AAAATATGGATTCCTAGCAACTTTAACATTTTTTCTAATTTCAGAAGATGATTTGCAAAAATGAATAAGAGCCGAAGACCCGATAATGTTCTAAAAAAAAACAATAATAATAATTAAAAGTTTTGTCTTAGAGGTTTAATTTGATAAAAAAAATCAAATTTTTACTTTCAAATGTATTTGAGTATCATCAAAAATTGAATAGTATTTCCAATATTTCAATGCCATATTTAATTCTTCAATATGATTAAAGTATGCATTTCCAAAAATACTAAAACATTTATTGATGGCATTTTGAAGAAAATCTACTGCCAAAGCCTGTAAAAATAATTATATTACTCAGAGTAACATTACTAAATTATTTTTTTGTAAAAATTTGTGAAACAAATTCGATTACCTTTACAATACATGTTTCTACATATAAATCTGGTTTTTCATATTCATCTAATTTTTCTAATAATGGATAAATGACAGATTCTAAGATATATACATTTAAAGTCACACTGTTAATGTTTTCCTTAATTGAAATTTCATTAAGTACTGTTTTATTTGTTTTTAATACATCTTCAAAAATTTTCAATCCCATGAGATTTAATTTTTTTAATAAAGACAAACATGCAATTGAAGAACTGAGTTTATTAAATAATAATGCAGTTTTTAAAATAGGAAAAGCACATTCTGATTCATTCCCAATTAAATTTTCTGAAGAAACGGATACATCTTTAAAATTAATTTCAGATAAATTTATTTCTTGATTATTTTTCGTGTTGCAGGGTTTTATTGTAATTCCTGGAGTATCACTGTCGACTATAAAAAGATTTAAAGGTGTTTGTAGTCTGTTATCTTTATTTATTGTTGTCCTTGTTAAAACAATAATGAAGTCTGATAAATCTGCATTCAAAACCCATTTTTTATTTCCATTAATAATAAATTCATTTTTATAATTATCAAACATACTACTTGTTGTAATCGAATTCAAATCAACTATCGGACCATCTTCCAAATAAGCAAAACTAACAAAACTTTTTCCAGATGCAAGTTTTGGTAAATATTTTAATTTCTGTTCCTCAGAACCAAATTCATTTATTATTTTCCTCCCAAAATTTTCATTGTAAGCTAAAAATTGACCAATAATTGGACAGTAACTAATGTATTCTTCAACAAATTTTGATTTTGAGACAGAATAGTTTAAACCACCATATTCTTTTGGTAATGATAAAGCAAACACTTTTAAAGCATTAAGACCATTTACCATATCTTGGGTTATGGTATGACAATTGGGTGGTATTTTAGATATGTATTCTTCAATTTTAATACAATGCTTTAGAAAAAAAAGATTTTCTTCACTCGGTTGAGGGCTAGGATAATTGAATATATTCCTGTCAAATTCGCCATCGAATAAACTATTTAAAAATCCTCCTTTATATGGTTTTTTGGACTTTTTTTCCGACGTATAAACAAATTCTTCATTTAATTCTTTTTTAAGAGACTCGGTTTTTTCAGGTAATGGTGTTGATGTTAAATTTCTCCATCCAAATTTAATAAATTTATCCCATGAAAGGTAAGAATTATTTCTTAAATATCGTAACATAACCATATCACTTTAACAAAAATAAATAAATATATTTAGGTTAAAAAATATACTTAATAATTAAAATACATTTAAAAACTTTTTAAAAAATCTATTAAACATTTTTAAGCAGTTTAAAACATTTTAATTACCTATCTTTGACTTTTTACAGTATTATTTTAAAAAAAAAAAAACTATTTTCACTTGAAAAAATTCATTTCATTTAAAGTAAGTATATTAATATACTTTAAAATAACGTTACTCAAATTTTGAATAAAATTCCCATAATTGAATTTAAATAATTTTTTTACTAAATCGCTTTACTAAAATTACAGTTTAATAAGTAAAAAATATTTTTTCTATTTTAACTTTTTTTTTAAATTGGTACTTATTGTACGTTCTAACATTCATGGCGGTTTTAAAACTTTTCTGCAACCGGAAACACTTTTTTTTTCGAGCGTACTTACATGAGTAAAACTCAAATTAAATTTTTATTTTTTTTTTTCTATTTTCAGAGTCAAAAATCATTTTATAAAATTACTAAAAACACCGCAACAATAAAAAAGGTAAAAAAAATTTTATTTTATTTTTTTCTTTTATTAAATCAATTAAATTTTATTGCTTTAATTTTATTTGTGAAAACGGTTACACCTTTACAAATGTATTTATTGTAAAAGGTTTGAAATATTATTTAAAACAATGAAGTGTTAATTGATTCAAATTTTTTTTTTTTTCATCACTTAAGCAATATTTTGAAAATGGATTTATAGGAAAAAAATAGTTAATAAAAATGACATAATAATATTACATGAATAAATATAATTTGTCAAAAATCTAAAAAATAACTTTTTGAATTTTTCATAAAAGTTAGTGATTTTTTTTTTTTTATAACAATTAATAACAAAATATTTATTTAAAAAAAAAAAATATTTATACATGATGATCAAAATCTTTAATAAATGATTCGTAAACATCTTTGCAGGCAAATGGAAATTTTTCATCAAAACTAAAATTGCGACGTTTTTTTGGAGGTGTATATGTTACTGGGGGTACTATAGATTTCTTCCAAAGAGCATACCAATCAAAATTATTAAACCATTCATGATTTTTAATGTCATCCACTTGATTCTTCATACAACCAAGTCTTCTTGTTTTATTCACCTAAAAATATGTTTAAAATATTAATTCGCATTCGATTTGCAAAATAACCATTAAAGATTAACCATTATATGTTGATATAAAAAATGGCACCTGCAACAAACCCTCATTAACAGATATCAATGAACTGGAAAAATGCTCTGGCCAATTTATTTTACCAATAAGTATTTTTTCATATAGTTTGAGTTCATTAGAAGACTTAAAAGGAGGTTCTCCATTACACATTTCGTACAACAAAATGCCCAAAGACCACCAATCAGTTGATTTTGTATAGCCTTTACTGCAAAATATCGAAACTTTTCATTTTAAAAAAAAATAATAACAAAATAATAAAAATTGAAATTTTATTTTTGTTTTAATTAATCACTTTGCTAGAATTTCAGGGGCAATATAATCTGGAGTACCACAAAAAGTGTATGTTAAATTGTTTTCAATATATTTTGAAAATCCAAAATCCACAAATTTAAGGTATCCATTTAAATCTAATAATAAATTTTCAGGTTTTAAATCTCTGTAGATAATACCCATGTGATGTAAATATTCTATTGTTAATATAACCTGAAATTTTAAAAAAAAACTTTTCATAATAAAGGTCCTTTAATGAAATTTAAAGAATATTTTTTTTTTTTAACGAATGATTTACTTGATGAATGTACAAAGATTTTCACCTGCCCAGCAAAAAACCTAGCAGAGTTTTCATCAAACCTTTTTATCCTTTTTAAAAATTTGCAAAAATGTCCACCACTGATTTCTGGTAAAACAATAAATATATTGCAACTATTTGTAAAGTAGCATTCCAATGAAATTGCAAAAGTAAATCTAATGGCGTTTAATATTTTAATTTCGGATTTTAAGTGTTTTATTTGAGTCGTGCTGATTACTTTTCTTTTTTCAACGATTTTAATTGCATATTGTTTTCCACTTTTACGATTTTGTGCAGCCAGTACCATCCCATAATTTCCTTCCCCTAATACGTACAACAATTTGTAATCTTGTAAACTTGTATTGGCATAAACTCTTTCATTTAATTTTTTTAACGTTTTTTCTCTTGATTCAATTAAATAATTTTTATAAATTGTTAATTTTTTTGCATCTTTTCGACTCTTTTTACGATGCATGGCAAGTTTGCTTTAGTTAATTTAAAAATTTATACTTTTTCATTTGAATTTTTCAAAATAATAACTTATGTCATTTTAATAATTAAAAAAACTATTTATTTTCCTATTTTTTACTCTTTAAAAACATTTTTAAAATTTATGTTTTTATAATATACAATGCCACCATTTGTACCAAATAAAAACATTTTTTTTTTAATATTGTAAATTATTGAATTTTTGTTTAATAACTGACAATAAAACACAATATAAATTATATAATTAATAATTCGAATGTAAGTAAATGAAAAGAATATACAAAAAATTAAGGTAGCATTATTTTACGTTTTTTTTTTTTTTTTTTTTTTTTTTGCTATAATTAAAAATTTACTTAAATATAAACATAAATGTCGGAAAACTTCATTAAAAATGTTTGCTTAAAAATTTTGGAATTTTTAAAGTAGAAATGGCGCTTGTCTTGTATATAATGTAATTGTATATATTTTGTAACACTTTTGGATAACGTATTTCTTAGGCTTAACTAATAGAAACAAACAGTAAAAAAATAATAGGAGAAATAATTAAAAATGCACCAAAATTTCAAAAAAAAAAAATTGAATTTTATTTCTCATTTTTTTCATTTTAAATTTTTTATATAAAACTTAAAAATAAATTTTCTAACATTTTCGGCTATCTTGTATTACGGCAGTAAATAATATGACGAATGAAAATCACATTAAATTATGAAATATTTACAAAATTCAATTAAAATAATTTTATTAATTTGCACTTTTTTATGTACTCTAAAAGTACTTACCAATACTTTTAATTAAAAATTTAATTATATATATATATATTTTTTTTTTTTTTCAGAAAATTCTACGATGCAAATATTGGATGATTTCTATTAAACTTTTTAACATCAGCAATAGTATTCCATAAGTTGCAAGATTTTATATAATCATTATTATTTTTCAACCTGTACACAATTTTTGAAAAGTTATCATGTAATTTCAACATATCGGACCTGATAATTTTGACATCAACTTCTTGATTTCTTACTCCAAGACAATACGCTCTGGATGCTCTGGAAAAATAAACAACAAAAAAAGGTAAGAAAATTTTTAATATTTTTTTAAAAAAAGAACAGTAAAATTTTCCCTTAAATTATTTTGATAAAAAAGTTTTTTCTTTTTGTGTAATTAAAAAAAAACTAACCTTGCTAAAATTGAGACACCAGCATATACATGAATAACAATATCGGCCAATAATTTTAATTCTAAATGCCTATTAAAAACATTGTCTTTATACTGTTTAAGAAGACTATCTGTACAAACTTTTAACATGAGAATCATATCTTCAAGCAAAAAAGTTTCTTCTTTTAACATTAAATGAAGGTACCTAAAACGGAAAATTATTTTCTAAATAATTTAATATATGAGAAAATTTTTTGTCATAATCAACCATACAAACCCATTTAATTTATAGCTAGGAGAAATTGAATCTGTCTGTGGAAAAATTTTTCCCAAATAATAACTAATCATTTGTGAATCTAAACTATCTGTCACTTTTTGAAAAAAATTTGAATTTTTTTTATAATTAAGAACATATTGACATCCAATTTTACTAATAATTAACTAAAAAAAAAAAAAAAAAAAGTAAGTTAGTTAGTTGTCACTTTACCACTTCATTAACAAAAAATTTACAAAATTTTTAATCAAAATAAAAACTCTTTAAATAATTAAATTACTTTAAGTTCATCATTTGAATAATTGCTTGCTGCGAACAAAAAACAATCCTCGACTAATTTCTGCATATTATATCTTTCAGAATATATTTCACTTCCAATTATTGATAAAGTTTGATCCAAAACATATTGTAAGTTTTCAGTAGAAAAAATCTATAAATATATAAAGAAATTTTTATGTCAAGCATATAATTGTGCCATTTAAAAAAAAATTACAGAAATAATACAAACTTTTAAAATGAGGGACTCTAAAAATACATCAGCATTATCATGCATGTCCATTCTTCCTGATAGCAAGTAAGTCATACTTTCGACGGCAAATAAACGAGAAACAAGATTACTCAATATTATTTTGTAATAATCTAGTTCATATTTATATTTACTGAAAATTTTATTGTATGTGCAATGATGTGTGCTTATTTCTATTAATTTTTTTATCATTCCAACACTTTGGGCTCCTATACTTAAGTAAAACTTTGAAAAACTTTTTTTAATTTCATTTTCAACATTTTCACATTTCCCTAAAATGCAACTTTTAGGAACTGTGACATTATCAAATGTAACAGAACAGCAGTCCATACCTTTTGATGATAATTTTTGTATAGGTTCATAAACTTTGATTCCATTTAAATTTTTATCTACTATAAATAAACCAATTTTGTTTTTGTTCAAATCTTGGCCATCATTTATATTAGCAGAAAAAATTATTAAATCTGCATGACTAGCATTGTGAACCCAAATTTTTTTTCCATTTACAATATAATTGTCAGAATTATCAGAAGATAATTTAGCATTAGTATTAAGCAAAATAGGATCGAGAGTGTTAAAATTTTCAGGCTCTAAATGAGCAAAACTGGTCATTTTTTCACAACTGATTAATTTTGGAACGTACAATTCTTTCTGTTCATCTGTACCTAATCGTTGAATTAAATCTATTCCAAATGTCTCGTTTGTCATAACAAAATTAGAAAGGTTTAAATCAGAACTTATTGCTTCCTGCATGAAAGCACATTCTGAATTTAAATAACCAAACCCTCCTTTTTTTGTTGAAATTTTAAAACCGGTTAATTCCAAGTTTTTAAAATTCCATAAGGTTTTATCAGTTTCATTTTTAAATGTTATTTCATTTGATTTTGACGAGATTATATTCATTAACTCCTTGGCATTACTACATTGCTTTTCTAAGTTATTAACTTCAATTAAACTATCGATTTCTGGGTAATCCAAAACACTCGCGTGAAATTTATTAAGAAATAATTCTTCGATAAAGTTTTTTCTAAATAATCTTTGTTTTCGAGTTCTATCAGGTAAATCCAAATTTTTTAATTTAGGTAAATAACTAACGACCGCAGAGTCCGAATAACAAACTTTTTGAATTAAGTAAAAATTATTGAATTTGGATAAGTAAGACCAGGGCTTATGAATAAAAGCCTCGATCATTTTTATGTAGAATTAGATTTTTTTTATTACACTAGGAGAAATTTTTAACATAACCTGTCTAATTAATAACATGGCACCGCCTTCTAAATTCATCAAACATAAATACACTTTTAAATTTTAAAAGCTTGACACTCGAATCAAATATTTTATCAGGAGAATAATTTTTTATAATTAAAAAACCTTTTACGAAAGCTTAAGACCCCATCGTAATTTAAAATTAAAGTATATTTTGAAGTTTTCAATTTATTTACATTTTTTTTTTTTTTTTTTTTGAATTGTAAAAAGTTTGAAACGAATAAAATACAACCGACAATTTTCCCTCACATAACAATTCCAAGAAAAGTAAAACTATAAATAAATTAATATTCTGTCAAATGAAATCATTAATTCAGGTAATAATTACATATTTGCAAATTTGCAACATATTAATTTTACGAGAAAAATTTTACTGTTCATTTATTATTTAAACAAAGGTAATAAAAAAATATCCTTTGAAAATATTATCAAAATTTACTAAATAGGTCATCGGTCATTATAGAATTAATGTGATAAGTTGAAAAAAAAAATAAAAATTTTCTTCCCACACAAATAAATATTTATTTAATTTTTTTTATTTTAATTATTTAAATTAAAAGAATTAAGTTTAAAGGTCATTCATTAACAAGTTATTTAAAAAAAAAAAAAAAATTTAATTTGGCATTTAGAACATCATCTTTTAAGGTAAATTTTTTTTAAATAAAATAACCATTTCGAACATAATTATTATATTTTTATAATAAATATACAAAAGAAAAAAACTTTTCTTATTTTACAATGTTTGCCCTTTAGTGTAAAATTAAAAAGTACTTTTATAATTATTTCTAATTGCACATTCATTTTCTTTAATAATTATGAATTCATCTACCCGATACAAATACTAATTTTTATTTTTGGTTTTCGATTATAAAAACGAGTACGCATTTTTTTTCTTATCATTCTCAATAAAATAATAATAGGTTTATAATACTAAAATACTAATTTTAGTGTATTTCATTAATATTGGATATTTTTTAAATTAAAAATAATGCAAAATTTACAAAAAAAAAAAAAAAAAAAAAAACCAACTTCTTTACAGTCAGATGTACTTTTTATTACTAACACCGATATTTTATAAACCCAATTTCAATTTCTTTCAAAATTAAATAATCATGTTTAATAATTTTATAAATTTACTTTAGTGAACAGAACTTTAGTTAAGTAGTAAAACTTACTTAAAATTTTGATTTCCAAGAAATTTTGTAAAAAATTTTTTCTTACCAAAAACAGCATTGATAGAAGAATTAATATTAAATGGTAAATACTGAAGTCTTAACATTTTAGAAATGATCGATTTGGGTATGCTGTTATTTTTATTTTTCATTTCATCTGTGGATCCATGATTCATATTAAAACTCGAGTCAGGTGAATTCTTTGATTTAAACCGAATTTTTTTCGAACCTAATAAATTCTCTTGGCTGTTTAAAAAAAAATCTTCTAGTCTTTGAGATTTTTTTTCATCTAAATCCAAGATAAAAGGAAATTTTTTTTAAATATAAAGTTATATCTGATAATAAATAACAATTAGTATATTGTTTGCATGTATATTAAAATACTTGCCTTTATTTTTTGATGTCGAATTTGAATAAGGTCGCATATTTGCGGGTATATTATTTTCGTTAACGCTTAATACTTTAGTATTGGTTACTTCGCAGTCGATTTGCATTAATTCAACTTGATCTGGATGTAGAGACGTTACTGAAAGATTAAACAAATTCAAATTTTTTTTTTAACGGTTTCACACCGCCATATTTGAAAGTTTCATTATAAATTTTTGTAAATGACTTACCGTTTGAGAGAAATGCCGGAAGCATGAGAGACATTTTCGGTCTGGAAGTTTTATTGTGAGACAAAGCTGGAAGTAACAAATGGTCTCCCGAAAAAGAAACGAGATAGAACGTGTCGTCCCGTCTATTTATCGCTTCGAAGAACGAATTAAAATTCCAAATGTTTTGCTTTAATTTATACATGTCCATTTTTAATGTGCTTTTTTTAATAGAATTATTTATTCTGCAAGAATTGAATTAATGTTTACTGTATTGAATATTACCATGCCAGGATTATGCAAATGTTAGAAAATACCTTTTTCTATTTTTTGAATTAATGCGATTTTTTTTTAGAGAAATTTTTTCTTCCGGATAAAAAAACTGATTGATTTTCGAATAGTTTTTATTGTAAGAACCGAGATAATCATTATCTTTTCCAATCCATCGCCTCAATTCACTTTCGAGCCTTAAGAAAAAAAAAAAAATTATAAACTTTCTCGAAATCAAAATAAAAGTACCTACTACTACTGTTAATAAAAATTTCATCATGTTTACCTGATTGTTTCACTTTGATTAATAAAAATTGGACAACTAGTTTTTGATAAATTACTATAAGTCGAATTGAAATCATTGAATTCTGATTGTGACCAGAGAAGAGATCTTGTATGCCTCACTTTATGAGAATAATGAGGAACTAAATTATTTTCTAATACATTATTATCATTATTATTTTGTTTAATATCACCTAAAAAAGAACTTTAAGCAAAAAAAACAAATTTTAGATTTTAAAAAAAAAAAAAATTAATTATAGAATAAACTCGAAAAAGAAAATTTATACGAGTTCATACCTAAAAGTGCCAATATTTAGGCAAGCAGTTAGTAAAACTGCAAATAATGCTGTTGCTTTTTTGGGCGCTTTTGACAATATATTTTTCTTTATTTTCTTCTCAGAGACATTATTTATTCTTTCATAATCAGCCAATTTTTTTCTTAAATTGGAATTTTCCTAAGGGGAAAAAAAAAAAACAATTAGGTATATTTACTTTTTGAATTGGGAATATTACAAAATGGCTGTCATAAGTGATTAACAAAGGAAACTTAATATTTACCGTCTTTAAAGCGTTATTTTCTACAATTAAATCTTTGACTAGTTTTTCAAGGTGAGCTACATGTTCTTTTTTTCTTTTCCTAGATAAATAAGCTGATTCTCTATTTCGTATCATACGCTCTTGCTTACGCTTTGCCTGCAACAGCTAAATCAGTGAATTATTTAAGCATTTAATTATAATTTTATCATTAAATAAAATTAAAGTGATTAAAAAAAAACATTTACTTCTAATTCTTTTTTAGATATAACTAATTTCTTTTTCTCACTGTCTGAACTTGAAAAAATTTTGGTGTCAACTTCAAAATTTTCACATTTTGTCGGGCTTAAATTGGGTATCTCAAATTTGTTGCAAATTATTGTTGGAATAGTAAAACTTTTATTGCCTAAAAAAAAAATTATTACAATAACATTTTATTAAGGTTACAATAACTTCTGTTTTGAAAGTATTTATTTATTTATTTTTTCACTTACCAAAAATACTGAGAGAGTTTGATGAGGGTTTTGGCTGAATTTTAACATTACTCAATTGTTTGAATTCATTAAACTTTAAAGTTTTTGATTTTTTATCTAAAAAAAAAAAAAAAAAAAAAAAAACCTTATTTATAAAATATTCTTTAATTAAAGCACAAAAACCTAATAGTAATATATTTCTTACCCTCTTGACTTACTGGAATGAAATTACATGAATCAGAATGAAAAAGTAAAATGCTTTCAGGTGAAATACGATCATCAGGAGTTATAGGTGGAGTATCTATATTTCTCTGAACAAACACACAATTAATAAATTTAAAATTTTTTTTTGAATTAGAAAGCAAATTAATTTAATTAATGAAAAATATATGTAGGAAATGGTTTTTAATATTTAACATCATGTTTTTCCTAATAAATGTTTTAATATTTGTACTTAAGTGTGCATAAACCTATCAAAATAACTAATTATAAAAGTTCAAAGTTTTGTATTCTTTGTAATTTTTTAAAAATATTTTGCAAATTTAATTTAACTTACTTTAGTGATTGTTAATTCATTGCAGGAAGAATCACTGCTACTTCCACTGCTACAGCTGATTGATGAATTACTTTTACTGGGCTTGCTTTTTTGTAAATACTTAGTAAAATCATTTTCCATTTCGTCTCCCCCGAAAAATATACTACTACCTAAAAAATTTTTTTTTTTTAAATTTAAAATAAAAATCATAATTTTTAAGTTATGGATAAATTGATATTAATTAATATTTTAGTACTATTTTCATTTCCAGAAATGCATGAATCATTGTCGGAATTTTTTTCATTAAATGATTCGTTAAAAAACTTATAATTGTCACTGATTGAGTTGCCGTAGTATTTACATTCTTCTTCATCTTTTATAGATATTTCATCTCTAAGTAAAAATGGTATCTAAAAATTAATAAATTCATGGCTATTAATTCTTTAATACATGTAAAAAATGCATACATGCATACATAAATGAATTAGTATATATTTTTTTTTTTTTGTTGGTAAAAAAGTAAAGAAAAAATAACAATTTTTGTTTACCTCCAAACCTGAAGATAATTCATTGACTAAATTAGTGACGAGGCATTCTCCACCTAAAATAAGAAATTATTAAATAAATTTATGGCGATTAAAAATTAAAACTAAAACAAAATTAAAAAAAAAAATTTCAATTAATGCAATATAATTTAAACATTATAATTAAATTTCATACAAAAGAACGATTAAAGAAACCGGTAAACGCGTCAGCATTTTCAAGGTTAATTGAAATTAATTCTTAAAAATATAAATTAAAATTAATAATTATACTTCAAAGTACTTAAATAAAAATACTTTATCTTTAATTATTTAAAATAAATATCCATCGCGTAAAATTTTCTGTTTTTAATTAAAATTAACATACCAATATTTGAAGACAATGATTCCATAGTTTTTGTATCAATTACAACCGAAAAGGAAAATTAATATAACAAAAAGTTAAATAACGACATCTCCTGTTTAATAAAAATTATATAGTAATATAAAACTTATAACTTTTATTTTTAATAAAAAATACAAAAAACATGCTTTACAACTTTAAATTACTCCATTATAAAGTTGTATAAATTCTATTTACACGTTGAACTTTTACACACTGTTCGTTTGCTCTTAAAAAAAGCCTATGGAACAATACATTACATTTAATATTATTGGAAGAAAAAAAAAATTTATATAATATTTTTATCAAGGAAACTAAACTAAATAATTAAAATTAAACTTTAATGGTAATAAAATAAGTTCGATTCGTATAATAAACCAATTATTTTTTTTTTTTTTTACATAAATTTTAAAGCTGTTAATATTGTTAGAAATATAGGCTAAACAGTATGAAGCATTATTCTAAGTTTGGAGTGGATGAACCCAAGTATGTCTTAATGTCGTCAATTGTTGATTTAACAATTTTACATGGTATTGTAGGTCGTTGAAGTCTTCGGTAAGCTTCGAAACGATGACATCCTCCAAACGAATAATAATAATCTCCTCCTTTACTGCCTTTTACCCATAAAATATCAATCGGAGGTACGGTAGTTACACGTTCAGGATTCTGTCAAACATGATTTTTTAATTTATGTTAATTATGATAAGTTATTACAATGACAATAAGTTTTTATGGGTGAAACGATGTAAATTATTGATTTACCTCTATTGTCAGCATCAAACTACACACTTTTCCTTCATCTAAAACTGGTATCAATGGCCTTATTATAATATCTATTGGAACGTCATGTATTTCAGATATATTTGAAGAATGAACTGACGCCATTTTTCAGGTTAAAAAAAATAACCGTCATGAAATGCGTTTAAAAAATATTTAATTTATTTACCATTCCGGTCCTCACCTCAAAGAGTTATGATGTAACTTTGATGGCAAAGTTGTAATTGGTTACCAATAAAACGAAAGTAATTTTAAGTCGTAACAAAAAAATTATTAAATCTTGAATGTTTGTTTTTTTTTGACTTAATTTAAAAAAATACTAGACTCAAATTTTTTTTTTTTTTTTTTTATAGAAATTACATTGCTAACCTTTCGTTAAGTGAATACTAGCGTGCTAGCATTCATACCTTAAATTTTCTCTGCCTGAAATTAAAAAAAAATTTTCATTTTTAATATTTTTTTTTTTTTTTTTTTTTATCTTTATAATAAATTAAATATAAATAATAAACATTCGAAATTTTCGGAAAACATTAAAACAATTGAATATTATATGACAAACGCTTATGATAAAAGAAAAAATATATTTTTTGATTAAAAAAAAAAAAAAAAAAAAAATATGGAAGCCTTCTAAAAATGTTTGCTGGTAAAATTATTTTTGTTTTTTTTTTCCGTTAATGTTGTTGTTTTCCAAGGTTAAAAAATATTTTTGAAAAATTTTTTCTTATTTATTTATTTTTTGTCTGATAAATTATTTGTATAAAATGGATTATGATTTGGATGTTATTAGTGAAGATGAAAATACTTCTGATCCATTATTTAATTGCATTTTAAGTGCAATGAATTCAATGAAAGAAGCAACTGCTGATAAAATTTATCAAAAACTTCAAAAAGAAGGAGCTACAAATTATTCAAAACCTCAGGTAAAACAATATCCAATTTTATTTAAATTAATTTTAATATATATTTAATATATTTAAAATTTGTAAACAATTATTTAAAAAAACACAATTTTATTTTTAGGAGTTTTTATTATTATTTTGACTTTTATTATTATTATTGTTTTTTGTTTTTTTTTTTTTTTGAAACTTATTTTTAATTGTAAAAAAAATTTTTAAACGTTCCGAAAGAAAATGGAAGGCTGCTACGTTCATCATGAAAACATATCAAAATAAGAAAAAATATACTTCAGCTTGCCTTGCAGGTTGATCGAGCCTTAGAAAATGCATTAAAATATGGAATATTTGAAGTTAAAAACAACCGTTATAGAGTAAGGGATAATGTTCTGGATGATGTTGATACCGTTTACTGGAAGATGCAAAAATTACGGGAACAAACGCCATTTCATGTTCAAGGTACAATAAGTCATTTTAAAAATGGAATTTTCTTTAAAATATTTATATACGCATATAACCTTTTATATATACAGATGATAGACAATTACGACAAAATTTAGATCCGGAAAAGGATAATTTACGATTTAAAAAACCTCCAGCTCCTGGAATTTCAGAATGTCCACAATGTGGTAGAATAAAAAAGTCGTACGTTTTCCCTTAAAAATTGATATATAATCAATTTTTTTCTTCTTTAAAATTATAATTTATATATTTATTTAAGTTCATCTGAAAAACAAGAAACTAAAGAAATATTAAATAATAATAATAATAAAAATGAAGATAATAAAAATAATAAAGAATCAGGAAGACATTCAAGTAAAAAAAATAATAAAACTGAAAATAAAATATTTAAAAAAGGAAAAAAGAAACAATCTAAAAGGTATAATTATTGTTAAATTTGTTTTGGTAAACAATTGTTTAAAACAAATCATTTTTTTTTTATAGGAAAAGAAAATCTAATTCCATAAAATCAGATAAACAACATAAAATGAGAAAATTAGAAGCAAAAGAAACGGTTACGTCTTGTAACGTTCATCCAAAATATTTTCGGGATGATTCTTTTTCCAAACCCAAAGGGGATTACATGCCGGGAGGAGGAAAATATGATACAACGGATGAATCCGAATTAGATTCACTTTCTTTTTTATCCGATGATGAACAAAGTTTTGCAAGTTACAACAGTCCAAAACCAAAAAATAAAATTAAAAAATATAAATTTTCACGATTCGATTCGGAAGGGGATGAAATTACACTCAGGCAAAAAGAAGATATAGTTAAGGGTAAAAAAACATTCGTTAGAAGCCTGCCTCGAAGTGAAACGTCAATACTATCAAATGAACCCTGTGATAATGTAGAAGAAAAAGATTATTATGATTTTACAAACAAATCAACAAACCCCAAACCAGAGGATGAAGTTTCAAATTGTTACAATTCAACTAAATTATATGATAGAGATAAAACAGATGAATTTGAAAGGAAATCCGATTGGATTGGATATACTGATATTCAACAGGGAGCCATTATTCAATCAAATAACGTTCTTACAATAGAACCCATGGATTCGATGGCTTTGAAAGGACCCGAACATACAAGTTATATTTCTTAAATTTAGTTAAAAAAAGAGATAAGGATAATAATATATGTATAAAATTAAAAAAAGAATGCTGCAAAAGGATAATAATTAAAATTAAAATTTTTATAATGAAAAAAAAAAAAAAGTAAAATGAAATTATTAATTATATAGCTTGCGTCTCGTATTCTTTCATTAAAGTCATTTTTTTTTTTTTTTTTTTATTAATCAACTTTGTTAGTAATTTTGCTTAACTTCACTAATAAAGCAAAATTTATTTATTAAATAGAATATAAATTAAATTTTGAATTTTTACTTTTTTTTTTTTTTATTAAATTTGAAAAAAATATTTTTGATTGAAAAATGTAAATAATATTTAATTTAATTTATTCATATTGAATTAAATTTTTATTTATTAATAAATTTTTTTTGTGACAATTTCAATACATAAAATTGTATGAAAACAAATTGAAAAAGTAATTTTAAATAATAGGAAAACAGTTAGGGAAAATAAATTCATAATTTTTTTTTTTTTTTACTAAAATCTAGGATAAAACAATATTAATTTATTTAAGTTTAAACTTTTTTATGTTATTTTTATTTAAAATAATTGGTTTAATTTCATTTTATCATAATTCTTATCAAATTGTTTACATTAAAAATAAAAATTGCTGCCACGTTAAATTATTTTCATTTTTCAGTTGGTACCTCGCATGCGCAGAAGACGTGTGAGTTTCGTGAGTTTCTCAACAAGTTAAAACACGGAGAATATTAACGTATTAAAAATAATTCGATTTTACAAAACTTACCGATTTAATTTATCAAAATTTTATCGAGTGATACTTTTTAAATTTTATTCTCAATTTTTTTTTTTTTTTTTAATCAAATAAAAATTATTTTATGCGGTAACATATTTAGGAAAAGTATATTTTTTATATAATACCACTTTTAATTTTAAATTTAAACTCTCAATTGTGTAATATTCTGAAACGGTATTTTAAATTCATTTTTGCTAAAATTTTCTAAATTACTCCTAATTAAATAATTAGTTCAGATCGAAATTTCGAGAAAAATAATTTGATTATAAAAAAAATTTTCCCTTATTTTTAAATCGGTATATCGTTATTATTATCAAATTAATAAACCCGTTTGCGTATTAATCATTTATTCAACCATAATAAATTTATTTAAATAATATATTAATCAGTTTTAAAAATTTAAGAGTTTAACTTATAATTATTTTTTACTCATAAAATCAAAAAATAAAACTTTTTACAATAAAATATTTAAATATATTTTTAAAAAAAATTTTTTTTTTTTTTTTTTCAGTTGGGCTTTAATAAATTTTTAAAATATTTTAACTAATTTATTTTTTTTTAAAATAACAATAAAACATAAGTTTTAATTATCATTAACTTGATTTTTACACATATTTTTTTTTTTTTTTTTTTTTTTTTTTTTAGGGTAATGGAATATTTTTTTTTTTAAAGTTCAGAAATTAAAAAATTTTTTTTTTTTAAAAATAGGTGAATAAATTTTTATTCTCTCAGTTGAACATAATTAGCAGGAAATAATCCGGTTTGACCGTGGCAGGTTCCCCTCCACCACCCCTCATCTATCTAAAACAAATTTATTCATTTTAAAATTATAAAATTGTCGTCTATATAAAATTAAAATTTATTCACAAACAAGTGACATAATTATTTAAAAGAAAAATTAATATTATGGTTATTCAAAGTTGTACCTAATGTTGTTATAATACCTATTGTTGTTGTAGGTTGTACCTAAATGGTTATAATGACTTGTACTTTTTTTTTATACTTACTTTTTCAATATTTATTATAATATCATCCGGATCAAATGAAATTTCGTCGTCTGCGGCTGTACAAAAAAAAAAAAATTAGTTTTTATAGTTTTAAGTTGATTTTATGATATTTAAAATTTATAAAAATGTATAATTACCAGCTTGGTAGTCGTATAATGCAACAGCAGTATAACATTCTTCAACAGATTCATATAGATTGTCATTAAATGTATTATTGACATTCATTTCATTTTCAGAATTGTTAAAATCTCCATTATCTAATAATTCAGTTGTTGATTTGTTACCATTTGTTTTTTCAGTTTCATCTGAATTTATATTCATTTGATCTAATTCAGTAGATAGTACATCAGATGCTTTTTCTAAATTATTTTCTATTTTTATTTCATCCGACTTATTCGGAAGGAACTCTGACTCTGACTGTATTTTTTCTTTTACATCCTGTACTTCCTCTTTTACAGGACTTTGTAATTCTGTTTTTTTAACATTATTATATGATTGCTCATTATTATGGTTTTCAGGCAAAACTACCTTCTGAAAAATAAAATTAATTTACATTAATTTAAATAAATTATAGCTTTAAAATTTTTTTTTATTTTTTCTTTTCATAAATCTTTAAATCGCCCAAATCTAAAGTATTATTACTGACAAATTATTGTGAATTAGTAAATATTTCAAACCTGCAAGGGTATATTTTTTTTTTTCTCAAAGGTTTTTACTTCATTTTGTCTAGCCAAATTTTCAAATTTTTGTTTCAGCTGTGAAGGTTTTTGAGATTGTTCTACAATAACATCATTAATTTTACCCACTAAAACAAAATAATTTAAATAGTTAATTAATTTTACTAAAAGTATAAAAAAAAATTATTGCAATAAAAATAAAGTCAGACAGTTTACATATTTTTATACATTCATTCCCACATCCATTTTAACTAAAAATTTTAAAAAAATTTTCAATATGTTATATAACATTAATAATAAATACCAGTTTGAGAATCATGTTTATGAAGTTTTTCTAAATGATCCCATCCCACTGCAGACTTATCTTGTCTGTCTTTTTCTACACCAAATTTACCTCCAAAACCAGAACTATAATCTTTTTGAGAAGCATGTTTTTCTACATTTTCCTTATGATCCCAACTTAAAGCACTCTGTAAAACAAATTAATAAAAGTTTAATCTAAATCGAAATAATCGAAATCTGAATGGTGCAAAAAAAACAAAACACATTTAGAAAAATTAGCAAACCTTATCTACTCTATCAGTTTGTACACCATATTTACCCCCAAAACCTGTGCTGTAATCCGTCTGCGACATGTGTTTTTCTATTTTGGCAATATAATCATGACCGACAGCAGATTTATCCATTCTATCTTTTTCAATACCAAATTTACCCCCATAACCATAAGCTCCATTTGGAGTATTTTCTTTTTGTTTAAGTTTTTGAAGTTCATATGCTTTAGTAGTTTCTTCTCTAAGTTTGTTCATACTAAAAATTTTCATATTTGACGTTTAAGGCAAACGTATGTAAGGAAAAAAAAAAAAAAAAAGAATTATAAAATGACTCACTCAATAGCTCCCACAGTTCTTCCAGAGCCAACAATTGTTTTGGATCCCCATCGTTGTTCTTGCTCTGTAACATTGTTAATAAAATCTGGATCAGTTTCCCAGTCTTCATCGTCATTTTGAGGAGTATTAACTTTAATTTCTCCAGCCGCTTTCCACATATTTCTGAAACGTCACTAAACTACAAAGATACCGGGCAACTCCCGACCAAGCCTGATAAGTTAAAAATTTACTGGCACTTTAAACAAATAAAAAAAGTTAATAACTGTGGAAAAATATTTTTATTTAACAGTTTAAAACCCTTTTTTATAACAACCTAATTCTATTCATTAACATAAAAAAAAATTTATATAATATTTTAATTACACTTTCTTTACTAATGTGTCACAGACATATAATTTCTAACTTTCCCATAAGTTCTAAAAGGCAGTGGATATTATTATCATAATTATTTTTGTACACATACCTTAGTTAATTAATATTTATTTTTGTTTAAAATCAGTAAATTCGTCATTTACACCAAAGAAATGTTTTACATAAGAAAATAATGGACGTCGTAAATTTAATAATTCACGTTAAAGATAGATTAGAAACATATTTGTTAAAAGATTGGCTAAAAAATACCGCGAGTACAATTCGAGAAAATCAAGTATATACTTTTTTATATTTTCCTAATTTCAAAATTTATAATTAATTACTGCTTTTGAAAAATATTATTTACATACACCGTAAAGAATTTTATTAATTTTAAAAATAAATATCAAAAAGTTTTTTACTTTTTCTTTATTAATTTATGCTTAATAATTTAATCTAATGAATATTTTTTATCGTTCTTATAATCAACAAAAATCAGAATTCTAAGATCTAATTTATTCTTTCTTTATATTTTTAAAAATAATTTAAAATACTCTATTTATTTTCTTTTTAGAGTTTATATTTGGTTTTAGTAGCAGGATTTACATTATTTTTTGTTTTAATGGTTCATTTTCTTCAAAAATGGAAGAGCAAAGGTATGACAATAAAATGTTATCATATCAAATTGAAAGTGATAAAAATTAATTTTTTTCCTTTTTTAAATTTTAATAAATAGTCATCTGTCAATTTAAAAAAAAAAAAAAAAAAAAAAAAACATACATATGTATGCACTAAATTATTACCAAATTTTCTTTCAGGTATTTTACCAGAACAAGTAAAAGAACTTGTCGGTGTAAGTTCCCACCCAAGATTTCGTAAAAGGGATAAAGTACTTTTTTATGGTCGTAAAATGCTTAGAAAAGTTAAGTCAATATCAGGTCAAGTTCATCAAACCAAAAAAAGAAAATTAGTTATGAGATTTGCCAGGAGAATTTTACACCTTAAAAAAGATACTTCATCAATGCAATTACAGGTAAATACAATACTAAATTCTTCAGATCATTTTCTATAATTTTAATTGAATATGTAAAAAAAAAATTAATAATTTTTAGGTACTGGAGCCTCCAGCAGAATATTTAGAAGAAGATATTACAAGTAAATATGATCAAGGACTTCCTCCTGATGCACTGTATTTATTACAGAGTTTAAGGTTAGTAAAATGACTTATTTGTTATTATTTTTTACTTTACTCTTAGTATTGCGATTAAATTTAATTAAATTAAATTTTATAATTTTGTCTTTTGTATTTTATAAAAAAAAATTTTTTTATAAAATTTATTGCAATTTAATAATAATTATTTTAGAGTTTTTGGACATTTTGAAAAACCTGTTTTTCTTATGTTATGCAAACATACCGAGATTTTAACAGTACCCGCTGGTGCATTTCTTTTTAAAATTGGTAAGTAATTTTTAAAAAAATAATAATAATTACCTTTATCAGAAGTAATGAATAAATTAAATAAATTTATAAAATCACCATTTATGATACAATTTTTTTTAAAATATTAAATATATAAAATTTTTTTTTTTTCAGGTGATCCCGATGAAAATGTTTACGTTGTTCAAAGTGGATGTTTAAATGTATTTATAACAGAGCACAATGGAACCATGATCTCACTTAAATATGTTAAAGCTGGAGAATCAGTTACCTCTTTACTTAGTTTTACAGATGTCCTTACAGTTAGTGATTATGCAACTATAAATAAAATAAAAACATTAAAAGTATAATAAAATAAAATAAAAAGTTTAATTTTTTTAGGGGAGTCCAAGTGTATATAAAACAGTATCTGCTAGAGCAATGGAAGATACAACAATTGTTCGTTTGCCGATACAAGCTTTTAATGAAGTTTTTCATGATTATCCAGATATATTTATTAGAGTAGTTCAAGTTATAATGGTTCGACTTCAAAGAGTCACATTTACTGCTTTACACCAATATTTAGGTCTTTCGGCAGAACTTGTCAGATCGAATACCCATTTTGTTAATAATTATGTAAGTGTTACTTTATTACAAAAATAATAAAAACTAGATAATATCTTTTTTTTTTAATTAATTTATTTAATTAGTTTATTATTTATTTATTTTTATTTATTTTGATTTAATTTTTTTTTTTTTCTTTTAGCAAACAATTAACACGAGTCAAAAAAGTCAAAGATCCTCTCTTGGGGAAGAAAACAATGAAGTTACCAAAATTCGTAATGTCCCTTTTTCTGGTCCGCTTGATTTTAAAATTATAAATCAAAAATTTGTTCCTTTTTCAGGTAATTATGAAATCACATATTTTTTTTCCATTTAATTCCTTATTTAAAAAATATTGAATTATTACAAACATCACAAAAAAAAAAAAAAAATTTTTTTTAATTTTTTTGAAATATTTTTTTTTCCAGAAATATTCCTGCGGCAAAATGCCAAAATTTTTGCAACTAATGCTGGAAATCAAAACGCTCCTATTGAATCGGAAATACAAATGGTAAGAACCGTAAAATTGTTTTTTTTTTTTTTTTTTTGAAAAAAAAATTTATTTATTTTTAATTTTTAATTTTTAATTTTTTTTTAATTTTTTCTTAAAGACTGGTCACAGAAGATCAATGTCAGGAAAAGTGAATTCCCTAGCTGAAGACTACGACTCTTTAATGCAATTGGCAAAAGCTGCGTTTGTTAGAGAATTAAATCTCGAGAATGAATCAATATTAGACGGGAAAATTGAAATCAAAGATGTTCCCACGGGAACATATTTGATGCGACAAGATTCTCATAAGGTCGGTTCTATCACCGTAGCTCATTCATTCAGGCCGGTATCATGTGAGGTATTATTAGTTTCAATTTTGTACCGAATGTATTCCTCACCTGTTGCCTGCTACTAATACTCATTTTTTTTTTAATTTAATTTAATTTTTTTTCGAAGAGCACGAAGAAACATTAACTCTTTGAAAATTTTATTTAATTTTTTAATGTATGTTGGTTAAGGTATGTGGTATTATTTAAAAAAAAAAAAAAAAAAAAAAAAAAGTTTATTTTTTTTTGAAATAGTAAAGCAAATAAAGTAATTTAAATTGCTTAATTATTTTCTAAGTAGCGGTTATACTTTTTCAAAAAAAACATTAAGCTTTTTTTTTTTTTTTGTGTGAAATTTTTTTCTTTTTTTTTGTTTTGTTTTCTTTGGTAAAATTATATATACATATATTTTTTAAAATTCTATCGATTCCAAAAGTAACATTCAAACACAATCAAATTAATTTATAATGTCAATTTGTTAACGGTTGTGGGTTGATAATTTCAAAAAAAAAAATAATGTTTTTAATTTAAAAAATAGGATAATTAATTAGGATTATAAAAATTTCAATTCTGATCTAATAGTTTTTTTTGTTTTTACATTTTTATGAGTGATTTAGATTGTGATTGTATATGAGTGATTAGTTTTTCAAGTTAATCATTAATTAAATTTTTAAATTTTGTTTTTAGGATGTTGCATTAATTTACTTACTATCTGGTGCACTAGTACTATCACAAAAGATGACAGATGATCAACATGAAGTTCACATGTTTACCGCTCATCCTGGAGAAGTTATTGGGGGTTTAGCAGTTTTAACTGGAGAACCTAGTTTTTTTACAATGAAAGCTAAACATTTTTCAAAAATAGCCATGCTTTCCAAAAGTACTTTTTATGAGTAAGAAATTAAAAATCTTAAATTTACATATATATATATATAAGGATAGTTTACTTACATAAGACTGTTTACATTTTATTGTTCGTTATTGCCAGTACCAATTTATATTATTATTATTATTTCTTAACATATATATGAATATGGTACAAATATTATATAATACATTACTTTTGAGTATTGTTGTAAAATAACTTATCTAAAATACTCTGTTTTTTTTTTTTTTTTTTTATAGAATAATGAAAGTGTATCCCAAAGTAGTTTTATATGTAGCCCATACCGTAGTAAAAAGGTTA